AAATGGTTATTAAGTTATTTTAGAGTGAAATTTTTAAATGTAATATGTAGCATCGCTAGTTATGCTACAATGTACTCAGGTTTCCGCACGTATTCTAATACAATAAACTCCGTTACCCATTACAGCCGGAGCGATGGCTATCGGCTGCATGACCATTTTTGAGATGGCTTCAGAGAAGCTGAGGATCAGGACCCATGTGGGATGCCAGTCAAGCACGGTTCCATCATCATCCTCCATCTGCTCAACCAGTAACAGCCTCAAGCCCTTTGTAGTTGCAGTGAAGGATGAGCGTGTGCGCTTGGGTACAAATGCTGTATGGCCTGCTTGCATCTATAAAATCGAGCGATTGGAATGGTGACCGGTGTGAGGTGATTTAGAGACTGATGAGAATCTATCTTGTTGAGACCGTAAATGGTAGGCGAAATGTTTGCTTTGAATGAGTTATGTGTAGTCAAACTCTCAAAGGTATTGCAGGCAAACAAAAATTTTTAATCGGCTTTTTGGTTTTGCCCAAAAGCGTCGTATAGATCAGATAAAGATGAGTTGCGAACTTTTGATGAGAGAAGGATGATTAGAATGCAATAAAAAGATGAACTGAAAGCATAGATAAATACGCGTAGGCCGAAACTGTAAAAAAGCTATGATTACAATTAGCATGAGAGATATTATGGCCACTAAGTAGTGCAAAGCGAAGCACTAAGAACAATTATATATTTAATGTGTTTAATCGCGGTCAGAGCCAGAGACCGATTTCCAACCAGAAATGTTCAGAGATGCATCATAAACAGTTCAGGTAATGTAATTCGCCAGGACAGCAGAAGAAACAGTAGACAAGGCAAATATCACCGCTATACGTTTCATCGCCCGATATTGAGAGGCTGAGATATAGCATAGCAAATGAAATAAAATACAGGAAAAAGCTTAGTCACCTTAAACTGTCTAAGGTGCTTTCAGGACTGTTGGTTCAGTTTTCCCGCAATGAAATGAGTAGGCCTCATGATACCAATGAATTTCATTTAGTCTTGCCTCCCAAAGGCTATCTCATTCATGGTGGACTGGGGTCCCGACCCCATCGAGGTCTGATCAACACCCGCAGCGGGATTCGATACTAGGACGTGAGTATCGTGGCGATATTACCAGTTTACTCCAATACACGGCCACGGGTGCCAGTGGACCACAGGGAAGATGCGACATTCAGGATAAGCTAAGCCTCTGTCATAAGGAATTGTCGATTAATAAATCTACGGCGTAACTTATTTTCGATATAAGTAGTTTTCAAGGGAAAGCTGAACTAGTAATCCTTAAATCACCTTAAGCGACCTAGGATGACTAAGCCCTCACTCAAAACTTACTGACCTTGAAATACTGATCATGATCTCGAAAAATAGTTATATCAAAATAAAATATTGCAAACTG